GGGGGCTGTAGTGGCCGAGGGCGATCCGCTGCTCGCCGCCCACCCGCCTTTCCCTCCGCTTCCCTGCCCAGGAGTGCTTCAGGGCCAACGGCATCACCGGCCGCCGCCTCATCCTCACGAACTGCTCCAGCCTGCCCGCCATGGGCGTCACGGACTTCGACCACGTGCAGGTGCGGCCGGCTGCGGTTCCCGGAGCTCCCTTCTCAGCCCCTCGGAGCCCAGCTCTGACCCTTTCTGCTTGCAAGCAAGCTGGACGATAGCCTGTCTGCCCAGGCGGATTGCGTATTCAAACAGTGAGCCTGAAACTGGACAACCAAATTTGCTCAGCCAAACAGTTATATTTCTCGAGTCTTTTCAGGTATAAATCCTTATATGGCTGGAGGTCGCAGGCTTCCTCTCTGGGACATCATAAGTGCATCAGAAGTGCTTAGCCTTTCTTTAAGCCTGTGTTGTTCCTCTTGCCCCATGAAGTTGCTTAGCAAGATGCACACGCCTTTCTTAGATATCCCTCAGAATTTCTTTTCAGTAATTTTCCACTTACTAATTTGTAGAACTTCTAAAAATCTAGGCAGATTTAACCTGCAGCAATTGAGCCACCGATCTCAAGCATCAAAAGGGCAATTCGTTATTACTTCCTGGTTTACACTTTGCTGAACACAAACAGCATCTCTGTTTCTTCCTCATTTTATAAACATGTAATTGTCTGGTCATTTTCCTTTCAAACCTACATGTTTTCTTTAACAAACACTGATAGTTAAGCTAACGAGACTGAAGTTCAAGGCTACAGTCTGGCCTTTCAAAGCTTCCTGAAGGTTCAGAAACAAGCAAGTTGACTTAAATTTCATTACCCTCCTTCCCCTCCCTAATGGAAACCACAGAGGGACTCAGGGCTGCATTTACAGAGCCAAATCGTTTGTTTCGCATCATGATTTAAAGTTGCTTTCCCCAGAGGACACAAGGTAGAGAAGTTCAAATAAGCAGGAAGAGGGAAAAATCTTTATGCTCCAACGACTAGAGTATGAACACTGTTTGTTTTATTCCAGAGCACCAAAAAGCAATTTCACCACAGTTCTGTCTGGCTGCACAATCTTAACTGTTTGTTTGAAATGAAATATGCCACCAAAAACATTGACTAGTGTGCCTTTGCCTGTTGGTCGGAGGAGAAGGCATCAAATTACAACGCTTAGTTTTTCAGACAGCAGCCCTTCGGGAGTATTTCTGGTACAAGCAGATACAGCCTTTGTAGTCATTTGCACTTACCAAAGATGGCAAGAATTTTATAGGCTTTGTAAGCCTCACCCTCGCATTGGGATATAGGGATTATGTACGGTGGTAGTTTAACTGCTGAGAAACCCTAAACCACGGGTTAGAGATATCAACTGTAACCCATTCTTCCTCCTGTAGAAACTGAAATTCCTCAGGGCTGGGGTAAGCGATAGCCAGCATACTGCAGCAAGCTTGGAAATGAGACTGTAATGTTTTCTGTAATGTTTTCCAAAGCTTGCAAGTGAATTGGGAACATCTCACAGACTTCAGTGGAACCTAGATGTTCTTGAAGATCATGTCCTATCCTAGTAGTTATTTGTGTTTTAGAGAACTTTACTCTGATAGATTCCAAGAGTGCAGAGCTCTGAGCAGGATGTGGCCCTTTGGGTCTTTCAGGAAGTTGTACTAGAGCAGGCACAAAGTTAACGCCATAATCCTGGGCACATCAGCTTCCCAACAAGAAATATCAATGAAAGGCTGTGAACAGCCGAAAATGAGATAGTTACTATAGAAATAAACATGATAGCATCAGCTCAGTGAGATAGAAACTTTTTGCAATTTAGGGGAAATGGCAGTTTGGTAGAGAACTACACAGTGAATTATGTAGAAGCTACGCAGCATGGACAAGTGAAGTTACTGCTGGTTTTAATTCCACTGTACTGGTATTTTAAATCTCAAAACCACTGAAGATACTAGTCTGGTCTTCTTTTGGTATCACACAAAGTAGGGTACTGCTCTTCAGAGTCAAGACAAAGCTGGGGGAATGTTTTGAGGAAATGCTGTGAAAGATCAGTAAAACCTTGTGAATTATATTTCGAAGCTTCAGTCAAATCAAAAGGTTACATTCTCAGAAGTGGCTTCAAAAATAATGGCAGGGCTCTGTTCACTGACAGTTCCAGATCCAGCTGACTCAGCCAGCCAGTTACCCATCATTTTCTTAATGAGCAGTATGGCATATTGGTTTAATTAGTTTTTACACCTCTTCTGTGTATAGACTCTGTTGTTGACAATGTAACTTAGCAAACAGCAATGTTTTTGCATTAGGCAGAAGAGACTCCAGCTCATTCGCCCATAACTTGTTTGTTCTGCAAGTGCAAAGAGGAAAGCAGAGCTATTTATGCCACTAAGAGGCCAGATGTGATGCCATCCCCCACAGTAAATCTGGAGAATGAGCGGCCTGCTCAGCTTTTACAATATCACACGGGGCTCATGGGTTCAGATTCCTAGAGTTGCAACTTCCAGTGTGAAACTGTTCCAAAATTCAGAAATTCAGTTCTTTTTCCTGCTGTTCTGACACAGAATGAATGGTATTAGCTGTTGCCCTGTGAAATGAGAATTTCTGGTATTTTGTCTTGTATTTCAGCAGATTTCACGACACGTGCGAGAGTTGCTGGGGATTGAGGAGCCTCTCTTCAACAGATCCATTGCCCTCCCATACAGAGACAACATGGGTCTCTTCCTGGAGCAAAAGTCCCGATCAGGAAAGAAAGCAGATGCCCTCACTTTCTCACAGTTTATCCAAGAAGCGGGGCTGGAGCCCTATACTACAGTTCCTCCTTTGCAACCCACGCTGGGGTAGAAGCAGATGCTCTCCCTGTATCGCAGCGGGCCCAGAGGCAGGATTAGAGAGACTCACACTGCACTTCCACCTTTGTAAGAAACCCAACAGGGACAGCAAAATATACCCTTATTACCTTGCAGTTTGTCCAAGGAGGTATAGTTCCACCTTGTCCTGATTATAGAAGAGGCCATTGCAGCTCTTAGCCATTTGATGACAGCAAACACATCCCCACATTGGCTCTTTTCTGCAATCCTTCGTTTCCATGAACTAAGTGAAGCTATAAATCAGACTGTACCACTGTCTTTCACTTCTGCTTCACAGTTGATTAAAACGACCAAAAAACAATCATAGACATATTTTAATTACCAGTGATAGATAACAACTTCCCCGCAGCTCAAGTGAATAGATTTCTCCCAGGCTTTAGTGTCTGCAGACTGGGCTCACTGCAAAGCCCAGATGTAAGATAAATGGCATATACAATAACTGGTATACATGTGTGGTGCCAACTGCTGTCGGCAGTTGTAATTAAGCAAGGGGCCTAGTTATAACATGCACAACTAATCCATGGCCTCACCACAGAAATTATTTCCTGTGAGGCAAAATCAGTCAGTGGTTTCTCATAGTAAACAGTACTGAAACACATGGTAGATGACGGCAGGAAGTATAAGAGAATACTGTAAGCTGAACTAGAGAATTTAGGGGATAAAAAAATGCTTTGTCCTGGGTGGATTTGGACAGAATATCCAGTTACCTCCTTTTTCCTTGAAAGAAGTATCACATAATCTATGGTGGTGGTGTGCATTATCACCAGCAAGGAAGCATGAATATGTGCTGATTAAAGCCTGGCTCAACAGAAAGAGTGCTCCTGACTAAATCATTACTATTTTGTCTGGTATCAACAGCTTCCTTGAGATCCCCCATGGAAAAATTTAAAAAAAAAAAAAAAAAAAAAAAGACTGGGCCCAATCCTGTTTAGTTATTTACACCAAAGCTGTAGCTGCTACACTACAAAATAACAGTAATTTGGTTTTGTAATTCCATTTTCTATTGAAACTGCAACAGAAACCCAGGGAAACTGAAGCAGTTCATAGGCCAAGGTGACTATGTAATAAGCAAATTCAGACTAAAATAAAGCAAGACACAGGCAGCCAGGGAGAAGGAAGTTTGCTGAGCAGTCTAGAGTGAAACTTCTGGAAGCAAATGTGTACATAGGGTTATTGGCTGGAATATTTTAAAGAATCCAAGAGTGAACAGTGCTGGTTCTTGCACCCCTCAGTCCCGTGAAAGGGCTGGAATGAGATCTCAGCAAAGCATTCTGCCGTGGGCTTTGTTACAGTTCACAAGGATTTAGAATAATAGTCAGCAGTTTCCTCTGGAATTTCTGACAAAATGTCAGAAGCAGCTGTGGAGAATGGAGACTTGTCATCCAACGTCACACCAGGCCCCACTACAGCTGAAGTAAGAGATGTCTTGCTGCTGATCAGCCCACATTGCTTTGTAGGCCAGTCTCCAAAGGATGCCTGGTATAGCAGAGCAAGATGGCACTGGACAAGCTCACTTTTTTCTAGCAACTGGCTAAAGCGAGACTCTCTCAGTTGTGCAGCTGTCAGGTCAAACCAGGGGAAGGTTCTGGAAAGAGAAAACAAGTGGAAACATTTATGGGCAATAACAGTCTGAAACAGCTTGCTAGTAATTTAACAAATAATGGTTTTCTTCAATGTCTGACTACTCTTTCTTGGGTCTTTGAGAAACAGTAAGACTCAGAGACTTGAATCTAAAGTGTTCCAGGCATTACTCTGCCATGCGGAGCAAAACTGAGCCTAATGGCTCTAGAAAATCCTGCACAAGCAGGAGTCCTTTCCCTCAAGCAGTGTTCTCCTGACTTAACATCCTCAATAGTCTAGTCCATGAACTATCGTAAATTCATTACCCATAAGAACTGTCCTCTCTAGATATTCCCATAGGAAATTTTTTTTCTGCATCCAATGCCCCAGTCCCGATCAGTGGCTTCAGACAACCCTGGTAAGCAGCCAAACAGGAGCCAGGGACAAAATAACTTGGGGATGATAGCCCAGGTCTTTTATTGCTAATACATCATCTAAGGCAATCTTCCCTGGCAGGTATGTGGTCCTAAGGGCAACACACAGTTCAGCACTTTCTAACCCAACAAGACAGGTCATGCTTCAGCTGTGGGATGAGGCAAGTTTCAGAGCAAAGAGGAAGCCTGGACAAGCAGCACCTCAGCATTCAACCCTTTACTTACTCCTCTGGAGTCACTGAAGAGGCAAAACCTTTGCTGACAAAACTCTTGCACACAAACTGTGGGCAGGAAGTTTTCTGCTCTGCACAGATGGGGCAGCGTTCAGGAAAACAGAGGTCATTGAGTAACTTCAGTGCCTCTGGTGAGGCAGGCTCTGCCACGTGCTGCTGTTCAGGGCTGCATAGAAAATGGCCACCAGCCATTCAGCATTGACTCTTATTTTCCCTGCAGGACAAACAAAATCAAATGTCAACTACCAGTGTGCACACAGGTGTGAAGAGATATTCTCATCTCCCACTCCTGTGAAGAATTGCGTTGGCAATCAGTTAGAGCGGGTTTATTTGAAACCTCTGATCTAGAATCATTTTAGGTGAGGGATGCTGAAATTAATAGTAACAAGTCTAGTATAGCTTGTATTTTATGTAGCTCATTCTCATCGAGTAAAGAGGAGTCCTTTACAGGCTGCATATAAAGTAGTATAACCATTCAGCCATCATGGCATGATGAGCACTGTAGCTGCTTTAAGAGCATTCGGCAACGCAAGAATTAGAAGTGCACGCGGAAGCGTATAATGAAATTGCGATGGACAGAGGTAGCAGCTGGCAGTAGGAACAGCACATCCATGGAAATAGAAGTTGTGCCTGAGGGAAGATAAACAGATTTTGGACCACGTTCTTGCTCAGAAAGTGTATCTCAGCTCCTGCTCACTGATTTAGCCTCAGAGCTACTATTGTTTCACGACAGGAAATGGTAGCTCTTTAGAAACTGGTGGCAAGTACATGGAAAGCACTGCTGACCCCCAGGGCGCTAATCAGAGAAACCGGTGAAGGAGACACATACTGCCTCATTTTGCCAGTCCACTTCTCGTGCATGACTACCCCCTTCCATGCACACTATTTCCATTCCAGCTTTAGCTGTACAGTGGCAGGATTTCTCTAGGAGGGTTTTCCTCCGCACACTGCACTCCTAACTAACAAAATTATCGCCAGCCCAGACCCAGCCTTGAATCATACAGGCAGGGGAACCACCGAGCGCAACACCTCAGACGAACTGCTACCAAGTTTAAGCAAAAAGAGAGCTTTTACCTCGGGAACTGCAGGGGCACGTTGCCCGCACAGCAGCAGGGTCTCGCAGCGCCGCGGGCACTGTCCCCCTCGCCCCCCACGCGTGGGTAGGCTCCTGGCCAGAGCACCGGAACCGCGGCCTGACGGTGGCACTGTAGCAAAGGAGTTGCTTCAACCTGAAAGCGGAGGCAGCCGAAATGAGCGTACCGGGAGAGGGGAGGATGCCCCTGGAGAGCCCGGGCTGCGCTGCGGCGGAGCGGGTGCCCAGAGCCGGCGGCGGCCGCACAGCACGGGTGGGTTCGTGGGGTTTTAAGGTCCTGCGTCAGGGAAACTCGGAGGAAGCCGCAGGGAATATCCCACTGCACCGTCCATGGCTGAGTTAACAGTTGCTGGGATTCATCCCATTAGCGTTTCTTATGATGACTCCTTTCCAATAGCCATCTTAACTAGCTAGAAAGGTTCTTCGTGTTTGATGGACCCTCATTCCCTTGTGTTAAAGTTAATCCACGAGCCTTAACACTGCAACGGAGAGATGGCCACAGTAGGATGGTTAATTTTGCCATGTAGTGGTCTGTTTAAAAAAAAAAAAAAAAAAA